GACATGTTTGGTGTTGTAGCTAGCCGCATCTCAGCTGCGCTGTAAAGGCTCGTGTTGAGAGGTTCTGTTGAAGTCGTATAATTGTTGAATATTTAGTTTGTCATACCGCCGCCGCGCTACTGTTGAATATTTATTTTGTCATGCCACCACCGCAATGCCTTTGAGTATTTATTTTGTCATGCCACCACCGCACTGCCTTTGAATATTCATTTTGTCATACCACCGCCACACTATTGTTAAATATTTATTTTGTCATACCACCATATCTTGCATATCTACCGTGAGGCCCGCTGGTAGATGTCCGGGAAACGTCTGGTCTCGTTCTCGTTCCTTAAGTTAAAAAAAATATTAATGTTGTGTTGAAGATTTCAATATTACACAAGCAGTTGTCATAGTTGATGTTATATACAAGACACCGATGATAGATAAGAAAGTATATTTGGTGATTTTAGATGTGTGAAGAACTTTGTATCGAGAATCTTCTTAGGGTAGAATAATTTGACATGCGTGGAGTTTGCCAACGGTTTCTGGCGAAGTCGAAACATTTATTAAAATTAAACGAAATATATAACATACATATATACACAATAATTGTACAAACAAGTCAGGTACAACAGCCTCGGGTATAGTGGCTACTTTCAAAATTATTGAGGTAAGCTCGGTTAGTCAAGCTGGTAAAAGCTTTCATCGTCTAATGATGGCCTATGCTAGTCGCAGCGCCCTAGTAAGCTGCGCGTGCTAAAGAATAGGACGAATCTAAAATTTCATATTAAGTGCACATGAGAAAAGCCTTCACAAGATGCATTGTTTAGCCAGGCAAAATGGTTATTAATTAATATTAATATTATTATTTACTAACCATTTTGCCTGAATAACAATGCATCTTGTGAAGGGGTTTCTCATGTGCACTTAATATGAAATTCTAGATTGTATCTTTAAATCAGTCAGGATTTAAAGATACAATCTATCAAATGTAAACGAGTGAATGACATTTTAATGTAGCTTATCTGATGAATGACTTCTATTAAAAACTAATTCATTTAGAGCGGTGAAATTTAGACAGAACTTCATCGAGAAGATAATCTTTGCTGCACATAATAAGGTTAAAGTTAGTTGTCTTGAAACTATATTTTTATTTCATAAACTTATGAGGCAATCTATTCATAAAAGAACAACGGGCCATAAATTTTTTTTAGAACGAATTGCATTATATTTAGTAGCGAAATTAACAACAAAACTGAAGTTACAAAATCACCGCTAGGGTTTTAAATACAAACAAAATTTCTACGCAATCCTCGTTTGAAGAGCGATGGAAGGCACAGGGGCTATACTTTCAAAAAAGTTAAGAGATCGTAAGTTCATCAGCCAATCATTGACGGCCTTTCAAGTCAAATCCACCAATCACAGACAAGAAAATAGAGCGTAAGTACTTACGTTCACTTAGCGAGTTTTGAAAGTATGGCCCCTGGTCTCGAAAATTGAAGCATCGTGGGCAAATGTGGAGGCAATGATTGCCGTAGGATAATGATCTTAATCGATAAACTTTATCGAAATGGCTGGAATTCCGCCTTAACTTTTTTAAGGTCATTTGTAGTTCCCAAGCGCCTTACGAAGGGATTGGAGTCGAGTTTTAGGTGAAAATAACTCTTATTGTCTCAACTTTTATTCTTTTAATCTTTTTAATGAAATTTTCAAAATAATATGAATTTTGAAGGAGTTAGAGTTGAGTGATAGGACTCGAATAGGAATAGAATTCGAATCGGAATAAGAGTTTAATGTGAGTAAAATTTTATTGGGTGTAAAAGTCGAGAGGGAATAAAAGTCGAATGGAAATAAAAGTTGTGAGGTTTTCACACAATAGACAAGGTGTAAAATTAAAAAAATAATCAAGGAAACTTTTATTTTAATTTTGTCAACAAAATGTTGAGTTTAATTTGGAATAGTTTTGCTTCATTGTGAAGCAGACAAAGTTCAGTCGTTAAGAGCCAAATCCCAAAATTCGATCTTCAGAATACGGTTCACAAGAAGTTGAAGGTGGCGGTTTGAAAGAACAGGTGACGAAGGAATGATGTAGAAATAAATTTCCAATTGAATATTTATTTAATTAATATATTCAATTAGCCGGCTAAAATAAATTTAGGCTGGCAGTCTCAGGATTGAAATAAATGTATACTGTATAAGAAATAAATTTGAATTATAAATCTTGCAATATGCCAGGGTAATTTAATTAATATAATAATAATGATCAAAATATCACTTGTGTACGTAAAACATTATAACTAACCTGTGATTTAAATGCCCAGTGTCGCAATCACTTAATGAAGGAAGAATAATTGGTGGAAAATAATGGAAATCAGTTTAAGGGGTGGGAAGTTGGGCAGAGGGAGAATAATAATAATAATAATAGGGAGAAGAGTTGACGGTATAAAGGTATACCCGCGGTTTATACAAGATCAAGAATGATTATTGATGATTCTCATTATTATGATGATTCTTATTATTAGGATGATTCTTGTATCATCAAGAATGATACAAGAATGATTACTAGTATTTGAAATAAGAATTAATATCAGGGGCCAGGGCTAAAAACTAAAAACTAAAACTGCGTTGCAACACATCCATGCGACAACATTTCTTCTCGCTTCGAGCCACCGACATGTGGAACAGCCTCCCTCATAGCATCGTTGACGCTCCGAGTGCGAACGCCTTCAAGAAAAGTCTAGACGAAGCTATGCAGGAGCATATGTTCAGTCTTGAAATGACTAGCACCTTACGGACCTGGCAATAATTCCAGCAGCTTTTTCAATCGATCGTCTGTTCAGGAAAGATCGGGTTCAAAAAGCCGGGTCCCTTGTGGAATCAAGTCACGAATAGTACAAGAATCGGCAACAGGCCACGGGCTATTTCTTCAATGCCGACACTTCTATTCTATTCTATTAAATGGAAATCATTTTTACGAGCTGAACATCACCGTTAGCTCCTAATAAATACTTAGTGTCATCGAGCTTCGTTCATTAGTTCGGGATATATTCCTTGGTCATTGAATTTGAAGTTTGGCCGTGAGACCGGGCGTGAATTTGTCCGGCACCTGTAAGCAGGTGACATTGTTTGATCGCCTGGGTTCTGCCTGGCTAAAACGTGATTGCGTTTTAATTTTTAATAAGAGAACACGATATATGCAATGAAATATTGCTCCGGTTTGCAATGGTCTTCATTTAATTAATTTCTTCTTTAGAGCATTTCTGTTACGCCGGAGTGAAAATTTTTTTAAAGATAACATCTAATTCCATCCCGAGGCCGAGTCTCACTGCTCATACATAGAGCGAAGTTTATATTATGAAAGTTCATTGACTGGGCAGAGAGCTTTGTATTTCGAGGTCTCTTTGCACATTGTATCTACAAAGAATAGTTTTTTTTCAGCCGCGACGTCTCGAAAAACAAAATGTAGGCCTCGGCTCAACGCTGAGCAGGATTTAAAAGTGGCAGTTATGAATAAGCAAACCAAGTGTTGCGAAGTCGTGCTGTCAATGCCTGAACTAATGACTACAATATATTCTAGATTTAAGTCACTATTATGCTGAGGAAAAATTTTTGTGTTGCTAAGTTATCCATTAATTGAAAAAGAAAAATAGCTGTTCATATTTGTTTATTCAAGTTTGATTTCTGTTCTTGACGCATATAATGAGTGTGGGAAAGTATTTTTACACTCGGTTGGATATGATTAAATTGATTTCGATTCATATACCATGCATATTATTGAGACCCATACTCATTACCAAACACTGTGACCTTTGTTTGTTGAATATAAATTGAAATAAAAGTTTTCAGCATTATTGTTGGCTCCACAGTCCAGAGGAACAGGCGAAGCCTGAAAAATACAACGTCTTCAAAATAGAGACGACCGCAAAGTTGTAGGAAACTTTTCTTTTTATGATAAAAATTTTGGGATAATTCGCCCATCAGATAGGCATGTTTATAAAATAATAAACCTAACTATACAAAAAACAACTAAAACAGTTCTACACCACTTTTTCACTTTATTTATCAGTTCTATACCACTTTACTTTATCTAGAACATTATCGTTCCCTTGTTACATGAATATGGTAGAAATACACGGTCACGCGAAGAAGTTTCCTAGCAATGAACAAGACGCGGAGCCTAACCTTGAAGCTGCACTTGACAGCATTCACTTGAGACGAGAGGCTGCGCCGGTAACTGGCAACGAGTTGACTGTCTACCTCTCAGTAACGAACTTGTTTTGTACGAAAGTGCTTTCCATCACATGCTGTTACTAGCAAATATGGAATTATTCAATGTTAATATTGAAATATTTCATGGTTAGGCACTTGTTTTGTACGAAACTGTTTTCCATCACACGCTGTTACAAGCAAGTTTGGAGTTATTCAAGGTTAGCATTGAAATATTTTATATTTAGGTTTTAATGTCAACGGGACTTAATTATTTTAAATATGAACCAACCAACAAAAATATGTATTCTCATTTTATCATTCATCTGTTGTTTTCACGGGAAAGTTTTTATGAAATGCAATTTTACAATGGTAGCTTTTAATTAAAATTTTTGTTTGTGCTGTGGACAATTAGTCAAATAGTGATCAATCAAACCCGATATATTTAATCCCGTTGAACAGGTAGAAAACAAACTTGTTGCCCTACACGCACGCTGTGAACTTGTTGATAAATTTCGAGCGATGTCGTCACATCTCTGCATCAGCACGTACAAGTCCCCTAGACATGATGTCCTCAAGCTCGAGGTTTGTATCTAATCACTGCACACAACGATATAGGTAATGTCTGATACATCACTGCACACAACGATATAGGTAATGTCTGATACATCACTGCACACAACGATATAGGAAATGCCTGCAAATTTGCACGAAATTATATATAATGTCTGATTTTTTTGCCCGCTTGTTGGTGTGGATAAATTATTTTTGAGAGACCATCTCATGGTGTACCAAGATGACTTGAATAATGACTACTACTCACTAAAACACTAATGTATTTTGAGAATATGAAGTTATGTTTATTTTAAAGTGAATTTAATTCATTACGAATTAAGCGAATGATCTTAATTCGTGCAAAAGGTTTTGTTTGCCTAGAACAAGAATAATCTATAAATTTCACAATAAATTTTTCACGTGAGCGTCATTATGCCAGGCTCGAGCGAGCCGTCGAGCGTTGTGACGGCTCGCACGAAGGGCCAAGCTCCCGTGGCTCCCCCGCTGTTCCAGTTCGTGACCAGCAACAGCACCCAGGCCACCCTGTACCTCACCCAGTGGGACTCTGGGGGCTGTCCCATCTCCCACTTTGTTGTCCAGCTCCGCGACTCCAACAACCACTGGACTACGGGTCAGCTCAAAGTGATAATTTCCAAAGCTAAAAAATTGATGAAAAAATGGGATCACGGGTCAGCTCAAAGTGATAATTTCACTAATAAGTGATAATAAAGCTCAAAAATAAATGCAAAATGGCATGAATTTAATGTGTACCAAACTATGAACAATCAAGGTTTGCTCATTTGAAAAATGTATTTACATCGAACGAAATATCAAACTCTGATGTTTGTGGCCAATAACTGAACGTACCATTCGAGTTTGTTTAAGTGATAAGCGGTCATTTTCATGTAGGAATGATGACCATAAAATAGCAGTGAAGAAAAGCGACGTAGAACTAAAAGTTTGCGGCTCATTTAGCATATAGCGCAATTCATGAGATGTTTCATGGCATGGGACGTCAAATATGTGCTATGAAAGTCTACGGCAAACACTCGTAGTATTCTAGTATCTATGACTTATAAATAGCGGTTTCAGCGCTTATTAGGCCGTAGGCCTGTCGCTGATTCTTAACTTCGCAGAACATTTACAGCATTTTGCGGTCTCGAACTCGCAACTCACTGCTACAATTCTGCTGTGCTTAACCGCCCAGCCTCCTTGCCGATTCTGACCAGAAACTGGCGCCCAGAGCTGGGATCGAACCCGCGCCTCTCGGCGCCAATACTGGTACTCTGAACTGTAACCACTGGGCCACCCTGCCTTGTTTCAGTATTTCGTAATGCACGGAACTGTGCCGTTTTTGCATAAAAGTGAACAGAAAATAGGTTTCAAGTAAATAAATTAATCGCTTAGCATGCACTTCATTTTGTTTCAGTGAGCTCGGAGGTGTTGCCGAGCAGGACGTTCGCGGTGACGGGCTTGTCGGGCGGGGGGGACTACGACATTCAGGTTACGGCGCACAACGCAGCCGGCGCCACCAGGGCGCTCTACTCCATCTCTACCCCGCTACCACAAACTGATGGTGAGTTACACGTCCTAAAATTATTCGAGTTATATTTCATCAGTTTTTAAATTTTTAGTGAGGTTTTTAGCGCATTTTCTCATTTATGGAAAAAATGCACTATTGTTCTCGCCATGTCCGTCCGTCTGTTCGTTAGTTCACGTTTTCGTCAACGAGAAAATGCGCTCTCTGTCACTCACTGCAGTGAGTACTGAGTTACCGTATATATACAATTTTCTTTCGATGGACTGTGCTGTTAACCTCGTATACTTGTGAAAAATTGACCAAGATTAAAAGTAATTCCAAAACTTGAGGTCACAACGTTTAGGCAGTAAATATAGGGACCTTTTGAGACAGCTATTTAACAGATATCAGAGCCGAGGCAAATACATGGTAGCAGTACACGACTAGTCTCACTACTTCAAATTATATTGTTCATGCCAAGAGAGCACTCATGTTAGTTATCATGTCAATGTATTTTTTCGGCCATATCTGTCAAGCGTCCATATTAAGCGCCACCTGACTGGTTATATAAGTAGTTTTACCTGAACCTGAGGACAGGATACCAAGCGCGTGAAGGATAAATAAGACATCATCTGTCTAGAGAACTTATCTTGAGACAGGGTGGATACATGAGTTATATTAGTGGTATTAGGTTAAGACGTCGACCGTTAGATCTGAGTAGCTCCAACGCAAGTTACATTGCGACGTGCTTGTTAGTTACATGAGGCCTTATTAAGGTTCCTTTTCTGGCACTTGACGTCGTCCATACTGACTCAGGTTTAGTACTTTTCCGTCATTCTCTACCACATCTAGTAAATATTACGTTTTAATTACGGATGATCTCAACTTAGAATATTATAATTATGAATAGAATGAGGCGCCTGATTGACATCGGACATATCAGCTACTGAGAACTATCGATAACCACGTAAATAGGTATCCAATGTAGTAATCATGTCACGATAGGCCCAAAACTTGGGCTGAAATTCACAAATTTTGTGTACAAATAAGCATAGAAATGCTGTTGTCTGTTTTTAGCGCGTTTTCTCAGTTACTGAAAAAAATGCGCAACTGTGCTCGCCATGTCCGTCTGTCCGTCCGTGACTCCACTTCGTCGACGAGAAAATGCGCTCTCTGGCACTCACTGCAGTGAGTACTGAGTTATATTTTTTCAGGATCACCGACGGCATGGGGCGGTCCCAGCGGTCAAAGCAGAGACGATCGCAACTCGCCGCTGTGGCGCGACCTGCGCATTCTCATCCCTATGGCGCTGTCCACACTCGCCCTAATGGCCACACTCGTCAGGATCTGCATCTGCGTCAGGAGAAGTCAGCATTAGCATGCGCGGGGTCGTTATTTATTCAGAACTTAGAGAGAAAGCCAGAAAACTGAACTGAGATTTGTACCTCTGTTTGGTTTGACCGCAGCTATGGTGGACTTGACATGGCACTTGTGACAACTATGCCACCGCAGTTTTGCGATAAAAAAATTTTATTTTAACTTAGAGATGAACGAAATTAATACTAATAATATTTGTTTTTTTTGGGAACAGAAGTTACGGGTACGAATAGCCTCATTCAATGCAATTGCTTCAAGTTTCTCCCAATCTATTTATACCTCATTCATTTCAATCTTATCTGCATTAATATCAATATTACCTATACTTTTTTTATATCGGACATATTGTTGATGGATTCAATCGCTGCTGTAAAAAATTAATTTTAAAATCAATTTATTTATTCATTTTAATCTTCAATAAGCGTTTTGCTTTAACAACATAAAAAACGGAAATTCTATTACGTTAAAATCTCTCATATAATTCATTACAATTTCTTTCGTACTCCTCTTATTATCATTTCCGATGCAGTAGATAAATTTATTCGTGCACGCTTCAGTATCATTTCCGATGCAGTAGATAAATTTATTCGTGCACGCTTTTTCTGGTGCCATTTTTTGCTTTGCAGATATGAGGCTTAGGTTGATGTTCATGCAATCGTTGTAAAGAATTTTTTACTGAACATACTTCTCCCGTGTACATAAGGTTGGGACCTTTTAGGTAGGACCATAGTTGATGAGCTCAGTTTGTAGTCAATTTTGCCCTAGATTGTTCAGCAATTTTATACGTTAATATTTTCTTACGTTATGACCATTTTATTGTTTTTACCTCTATTATTTTCTCTATTTGTTTATAATTTCGACTAACCTCAACTTTGCGTTCAAAATGTCCATTCTTTGTTATCAGAAACCGTTACAGTCATCTACGCGTTTTCATTCCGAACAATCCCCCGAACAAAGAGTGGGTTTTCTTTATAATCATATTTTCTTCAGGCAAAACCGTGACAAAACACAACCCTGCTGATGACGAAGTGGCTGATGGCGGAGCATCGAAGATTGCTCAGGACGGCCACGACTCTTCCATGCTCAGGGAGAAACAGGACCTCGAAAACCCAGTCAAGGCGCGCTCACATTTCCAAAGATTTCCGCAGCCTTTGCCGAACGTAGACGACGTTCGGAATGGTAAAAGAACCTCCTTGTGTTTGGACAATCTATATCATGGTTGAACTATATAAGGTTGACCCACAAGAAGTTCCGTCTTAAACTCAAACCATGATCTATATACTGCTAGAAATAATACGTTTTGTAATTATTTTGTTGATAAGTATATGTTAATTTTGATTATTGCTGCATTCATTTCATTGAATGTTATTAGTTGTTATGAGGCTGCTTATCTACTTATTATTTAATTTCTTAACTAAGGAACTTAAATAAGGACAGTTTTGAAGAGAGAGACAGATCATCGCTTCGGGGGTGTGTATCTTGTTGCTATTTTTATTCCAGATGCGTCGCCTGAAACAGTTATGAATGAAATTCTGATTACAATTTAAATTTTCGTTGAATAATTTTATTTACTCTCATTTGAAGAAGTACTCGATGCGACCCATCTACACTTTGTTCAAATTTGACATTGTATATTCACGGTCCGTATTTATAAATGAAATGGCTTCGTATGTAAAATCCATTGTATAGCTTCAAGGTTCGCTCTCAAAATTCCTGAAATTTGAGTCGAAATTTGAGTTAACTAAGAAGTTTACAGAACAACGCAAAATTGAAATTTCTAAACCATTAATGGCATTCATACCATATTAGAAATTGCAAATTATTGTGAAATATTAGTTAATTAATGAATTTTTTTTAGCCATATTCTACCGTTAGCAGCAAAATCCTATTAAATTCAGATTACCCAGGGGAGTCGGACGTGTATCACTACGCGGACAGCACCTACCATCTAGGGGCGCTATCACCGATACCCCAAGCCCCGCTGTCCCGACCTCCGTACGAGGCGAGGGACGGGGCCTATACAGAGGACACGAGCCAGAGGAGCTACGCTACTCTTGTGTACCAAATACCGTCGCTCAATAATGTCGACAGCCCTAATGCTGTAAGCTCTTTCCTGTTATAAAAATTTGTAAAATTTATCATTAAATTAAAAAATTCAATATTAAATATATCCTTTAAATATATTATATTTATTATTAAAATTAAAATTTTAAAAGATCCGGTTAAATGAAACGATTTTAGATCATCTGTGAACAAGTCACGAAAAGTTCAAGAATCGGCGACAGGCCACATCAGGCCTACTCTTTAGGGCCGACATCACTATGTTATTACGGAGAACTGAGGAAGCGAATCAGCTATTTTACGAACCCGGAACTCATTTACACCTTAAAACGTTTATAAATTCACATTTTTTTACACGAACCGATGGAACTTACTCCTCCTTCAGTTTCAATGCAGAATATTTCAATATTGCGGTCATGTTGTTGATTCTTTAGTGAGCAATAATTGTGAGGGAATATCTGTGAATTTGTAGAACATTGAAGTTCAATCTATAAATTCATATGAAATTCACGATCTTGGAAAAACTACAAATACAATAAATTGATTTAGTCGCAAACATTCGTCACAATATGACCTTGCTGGAAATTAATCGTATCCCGTTTACTCTGCCCTATCTTACTTTAATTTATTTTCAATAAGCTAAAATAATTACATTAATTAAAGCCAATATTATCTATGTTTAAATGTGAATTGTAATAATTGTTTTTTTCTCAAACTTTATCACCCGTAATGAAGATAATTAAATTCACAACAAAGCACGATTGAAGAAAATCTATTCAAAAGTATGTGGTTTGAATTTAATATCATTCGAAATTAATTTTTGACTGACCTCTTGTGGAGGCCTATTTATTTACCATGATTTTATCTGTGATTTTTTGTTTGTAGGATGATGAGGGCTCTTTGACGGAATATTAAAAATGTAAAAATAATTCTTACTAAGGTGGAAGGCTCCTCGTCGGACGAAAATTATTTATTTAGGCCTATTTATTTACCACGATTTTATCTGTGAATTTTTATTTGTAGGATGATGAGCGCTCTTTATCTGACGGAAGATTAAAAATGTAAAAATAATTTTCACCAAGGTGGAAGGCTCCTCGTCGGACGAAAATTATGCCAGCGCCATCCCCTCGAAAATGTCTCGAGGTTACCGCGGGCAGGCGAGGCCGGAGAGTTCAGTTGCACTCCGGGGCGTTGAGAACCGCCAGAGACGTCCGCCTCGACACATTTCTTTCCCATCCCAATGTTATGAGTAATTCTATAACATTTGAAGCCTAACGGGAATGTAGAAGTAGCATAACATTAAGATTGATAGGAATGGGGAAGTATACGGTCAACTTAAAGTGAAAAACCGCCCAAAAATTAATTTTATATAGGTATCTGAAAAACAGCCCAAAAAGTAATTTTATTTATGTGAAAAACAGCCTAAAAATTAATTTTATATATCTGAAAAACAGCCCAAAAAGTAACATTCATCTGAAAAACAGCCCAAAAAGTAATTTCATCTATCAAGCGTATTCAAGATTGACGGAATCGCATGAGATATGTCAACCATCCTCATCCTGTTTCGTTAATGCTTAAATTTGTAGATAGCGGCAGTATATAAATGTAGCAAAGATATCAGGATTATAATATACTCAGTGTTGTTAATGATATGAAAACTCAAAATTAAGCCTTGTTCTTGAGTTTGCTAATATAATAACGTGTTATTTCACCTGGCGTTTTTGTAAGGCAACGATTTTCCTAATGGATCCTTCAACATTCGTTGGGTTAAGTTCGAGTTCTAAGAGGGGTTTAAGTTTTATTTTCTTCGACCAGTGCATTATCCAAAACTTTATACGAGGATATTTTTTCCTCTCATCAAGTTTCTAGCGTTAATTGTAATTTTGCAGTTGTTGAATTTTCCTAAGAATTCAGTTCCATAGATTGTAAATACGATGTTGAAAGAACTGGCAGAAGTCATCATCAAATTTACGTAAAAATTCCAGGAGTTAGTGGGCAGAAGACGAGAAAAAAACGATTTATTCTTTACGATTATTTGTTTATGGTGCTTTTGTTATTCAAGCAAAATTAAGATGCTAATCATGGCACGAATACCTATACCTGTCCACTGAGATCATGTTATAATATAGCAAGAAGCGAACGAGTGCGAGAAGGTTATGCAGTCTCTTTCTTTAAATTCCGCCACTGAGCACTAGTTTACCACGAATATTATAAGCGTTCGCATTGCGTTTTTTTCAACGCACGTATATTATACAATACTCATGATTAAATAAGAACTATTGAGTTTCCAATTAGTGAAAATAAGTTTCAAAGTAAATGTACAAAGTTTTAACCGACAGAACTGATTTATTCAATGTTGATAGTAGGATGTGAATAGCAGGCGAGCTATTACTACTACTGCATAGATACATTTATTATTAGATAACATCTCATTAAACTGAAACGATCCTTACTTTCAGCTATCCTTAGTTTCTGTAAACGGTTTTCAATGTTCAGAATAAAGTTTACTCTGTTCAATAAGTCATTTTTTAAATTTAACCTTACAAAATTAAATAAAAATCCTCTTTGTATAACAAATTACATACTAAAATGCAAAAAATAGTATTACTATTAGATAATATATTAAGGTTTAGCTATCAGCTTCATATAGTGAGCACATGAAGTACATTTGCACGGTAATTAACATCACATCAGCAGCACATACAGCAATAACGAATACGCATATGCATCTTACCGCGATGGCCCTGGACCCTCTCTTCCTTCCTTCAGATTTCCCCTCACCCTACCCATGCCACCGTCAGAACTTTCCCCTTGCGATTCATAAAGTTTGGGACTTTGCTTCACCTTAATGGCATCTTCGTTGGAACTGTCATTTTGTGATTCAACAAGCTTCGGTCCTCGCCTCATCTCCTGACATCATCATCAGAACTCAAACCCTCCCGTACCTGCCTCACTCTCCTCATGCCGCCGCAGGAGCATTCATCTTGAGACTCATTATTCTTCATCCCTTGCCTCATCTTCCTTAGACCACCACCAGACCTTGCATCTTCAAATTCAGAAACTTTAAGCTTTTTCTTGTTCTGCACAAGCCATCGTCATAACTTTCATCTTGTGATGCAACAGCTTTAATCTTCTGCCTCATTGTTCTTATATGACCCTCGATGGGTCCAAATCAGACTGGGCTTCAGTGCGCAGCGGCGTTCCACAAGGAAGCGTTCTCGGGCCTGATTTATTCGTTGCGTTTATAAACGATCTGCCAGAAGATGTGTCTAGCGCTTGCTCGCTATGTGCTGACGACACAAAAATTTATAATACAGTGAAGAATACGTCGCAAAAAGTACAGTTGCAAGGTGATCTTGACAGGCTGGTTGACTGGGCTGATAAGTGGCAGCTGCGTTTTAACGCTGACAAATGTAAAGTAATCAACCTTGGCAAGTATAATGAACAGCAAGATTACAGTATGAGAAGACATGGTTTTAACGACAGAGTGATGATGTCGAAGTCGACAACGGAAAAGGATTTAGGAGTTAATGTCGATAATGAGTTGAAACTTTCGAGGCATATTGCGGCTCAAGTTAATAAAGCCAATAAACGACTTGGACTGATCAGACGCTCTTACGAGCACATAGATGCTGAAGCGATGAAGATGTTGTTTGTCGCTGTCGTGCGTCCGAACCTAGAGTTTGGCAACGCTGTGTGGTCACCAAAACTAGAAAAAGGACAAAAAATTAATCGAAAGTCTTAAAAAACGTACAACAAGGATAATTCCGGGATTAAAAGGCAAGTCGAATGAAGAAAGATTACCGATTATGAAGCTTCCAAGCCTCTGTTATCGACGTCTGCGTGGTGACCTCATTGGAGTACCGGTATAAAGGTATACCCGCGGTTTATACAAGATCAAGAATGATTATTGATGATTCTCATTATTATGATGATTCTTATTATTAGGATGATTCTTGAATCATCAAGAATGTTTACTAGAATTTGAAATAAGAACTAATATCAGGGGCCAGGGCTAAAAACTAAAAACTAAAAACTGCCTTGTAACACATCCATGCGACAACATTTCTTCTCGCTTCGAGCCACCGACATGTGGAACAGCCTCCCTCATAGCATCGTTGACGCTTCGAGAACGACAACCTTCAAGAAAAGTCTAGACGAAGCTATGCAGGAGCATATGTTCAGTCTTGAAATGCCTAGAACCTCACGGACCTGGCAATAAGTCTAGCAGCTATCTCAATCGATCGTCAGTTATGGAAAGATAGGGTTCAAAAGGCCGGGTCCATTGTGGAATCAAGTCACGAATAGTACAAGAATCGGCAACAGGCCAGGGCTTATTTCCGACACTTCTATTCTATTCTATTAAATGGAAAACATTTCACGAGCTGAACATCACCGTTAGCTCCTAATAAATACTTAGTGTCATCGAGCTTCGTTCATTAGTTCGGGAGATATTCCTTGGTCATTGAATTTGAAGTTAGACCGTGAGACCGGCCGTGAATTTGTCCGGCACCTGTAAGCAGGTGACATTGTTTGATCGCCTGGGTTCTGCCTGGGTAAAACGTGATTGTGTTTTAATTTTAATAAGAGAACATAATATATGCAATGAAATATTGCTCCGGTTTGCAATGGTCTTCATTTAATTAATTTCTTCTTTAGAGCATTTCTGTTACGCCGGAGTGAAAATTTTTTTAAAGATAACATCTAATTCCATCCCGAGGCCGAGTCTCACTGCTCATACATTGAGCGAAGTTTATATTATGAAAGNAGTTATTCATTGTTGACATTGAAATATTTCATAGCTAGGCACTTGTTTTGCATGAAACTGCTTGCCATCACATGCTGTTACTGGCAAGTTTGGAGTTATTCATTGTTAACATTGAAATATTTCATGGTTAGACACTTGTTTTGTACGAAACTGCTTGCCATCACATGCTGTTACTGGCAAGTTTGGAGTTATTCAAGGTTAGCATTGAAATATTTTTTATTTAGGTTTTAATGTCAACGCGAATTAATTCTATTAAATATGACCCAACTAACAAAAAATATGTATTTTCATTTTATCATTCATCTCAAAAGTTCACGGGAAAGTTCTTTATGAAATGCATTTCTACAAATGGTCGCTTTGAATTAACATTTATGTTTGTGCTCTGGACAATTGATACAGTAATGTAAATTTTCGTTCTGCAGAATCTCTTTAAGACTTTTTACATAAATGAAAATAAAAGTTCAAATAGTGATCAATCTAACCCGATATATTGAATCCTGTTGAACAGGTAGAAAACAAACTTGTTGCCCTACACGCACGCTGTGAACTTGTTAATAAATTTCGAGCGATGTCATCGCATCTCTGCATCAGCACGTACAAGTCCCCTAGACATGATGTCCTCAAGCTCGAGGTTTGTATATGCATCAGCACGTACAAGTCCCCTAGACATGATGTCCTCAAGCTCGAGGTTTGTAGATTGAAAAAAAAGCTTTCTCAATCAATAGCAGTTAACCATGAACCTATTGATTATGAGTGATTGAAAACGCATGTATGAACGTTTTTTTGAACGTCTTTTTGAAAACGTCCTTTGAACGTCTATATGAAAATTTTCGCCATAATTCTCTTTTGTTTCTTATTTTTTAGAATCTGTTTTGATCATGTTACTTCTTGGTGTTCATAATATTTAAAAAAATTTATAACGTGATATATTAATATTTAAATATTCCCTTGTCATTCAGAAAGCTCATTATATCGTTATAAATTATTGTGTCTACATCTATTTTATCATGTTCAAAATAGAAGTCAAATGTTCAGTTATGTTTCGTGGGACGCGACTGCTCGATGGTGCCGGCCGTGCTCGGTACCACGTATGGCTGTCAGGCCCGCAGGCTCGACTTATCCTTCAACAAAATCAAGTGAGCGAATACAGCGTAAGTTAGAGTATGACTTGACGTACATAAGGGTAATTCACTGAAACTTCTTGTTTTGTATTCCCGAACTTCCCGCCAAGCAGCCAGATATTGTAGACAAAATATAACTCAGTACTCACTGCAGTGAGTGACAGAGAGCGCATTTTCACGTCCACGAAAATGTGAAGTCACGGACGGACATGGTGAGCACAATAGCGCATTTGTGTCATAAATGAGAAAATGCGCTAAAAAGGAGAAAGGTAATTCATGTAAAAATCCAGGTCATGAAGTTTTGTGTCGTGCCTAGTCAGTTGCCACGGTGCATTGGACAAGTGAGCAGCATGCGTTTGCTTCTGGCGTACTTTTCTAATGGCCGTTTCATTATCGCTATTTGTTGAGCATTCCGTACTCGGTTCCGTATTCGTTCTTCAGTTGGGTTCCTGATCAGCTCCAAACCTAATCGGGTTCCGATTAGGCTCCGTGTAATTCTTTTATGGGGTTATCTTAAATCAATTGTTTACAATGTCTGTCCAAGGACCCTATACCTCATTAGAAAGAACAGCATACGCCAAGCCATCGCTAACATACCCGTCTTATGCTTTAGTGAGTTGAACGCAACTGCAAAGTCGACTAACAGAATGCATTGACAGTAGGGGGCCGTCATTTGTCCGATATCATCTTTTAAACTATGTGATATAAAATTTCAGGTCATGTCTTATTCAATAAAATTTATATTGTAATGATATTTCCACTAGTTTTTTTCTCGGCTATTAATAATTAATATTAATATAGGAGCCGTCATTGGTCCGATATGATGTTTTAAACTATGTGATACAAAAATGCAGGAAATGTCTTCTTCAATAAAATCTATATTGTAATCATATTTTCACTATTTTTTTATTTGGCTTTTAAATCAGGAAGTTTCCGTGAATCACCCTGCATTACGTCTCTTTATCATATTACTTTCAACAACATCAAGTGAGCCGGCAGAGTCCATGGTAAAGTGTCTTGAGAGGTGCTCCACTGTATCTTCATCGTTCATATTTATTAACATCACCAGAGAAAAAGAATTTGTAATTTCAATACTTTGTGTGAGAAATTTCTTGTTTCTTCTTCCTAAATTTCCAACCATTTCCAGGAACATTCTTTAACATATTATTATGTAATGACATTTAGTATATTATTCGAAAATCACAACAAACTTTTATTGGGAAATATTCTCGATATAGACCTCACGTTCGCTTGAATTTGGTTTCTGTTCTCCTTACGATGTTTTAATCGAAAACGAACCCACAATAAATGATACAAAATTATGCCATGGAAAATTTAGTTTTCAACGAGGTTCACTTCCCGAGGCCCAATTACCTGTTGAACGCGCATCATCATTTTCAATCCGCGCTTTAGCCTGAAAACCTAACGCGGATTGAGGTCTCTGAAGAATGGATGTGCGTTCGTTGTGCCATTGGATTTCCTTTCATTGCTTTACGATTGAATCTTCAGCTCATTGTGCGGGCTGGAGAGATTCCCTTATCTCGAGGAACTGATCCTGGACAACAATTGTCTGGGCGACGACGCACTCTGGCCCTTCATGCCTTACCTCACCTCACTCTCCATCAATAAAAATTACGTGAGTCGAGCTAGGAAATTCTTCAAGCTTTGAAATATGACCAAGCAATAGTGAAAGAAATGTTGGAGGAACTTCTCGGCTTCCGTTACAACAAAGGTATCAGAAGAAAATTATTATATGTATTAATTTTATTTTGCTTACAGTTATGTGGTTAGTCTTCAATATTGATGGTCATTGCCCCAAGGTAACAATTGCTCCAACAATACAAAACTCTCGGGCTTACAAGCGGCCTCTGGTTAGGTTGCTCTTCAAAGCTTCTATGCGTATACTCCACATGCCAGAAAAAAACACACCGAAAATCTATAATTAATTCTTTACTTCCATTATACTGTGCTTTCCATAGAAGGGTATATTTAAATTAGAACCTAATTTAATGATGATTCATTTGAACTTTACTTTTCAACTAAGCTGACAGTTTTATAACACATTATCCGAAGTCATTTTGTTTTTTGCACTATAATCCTATACCTAAAATAATCGTAACAGATCCAGAATTCTTCTTCATCGACATATTGATGCATTTTTTCGATGATTGCACTAAAGAAATGGTAAACATCTTCATTTGTACAAGCCGTTCTAGAACGTATGGGCAGAAATGATAATTATTGAATTGCTCCATTGCAGTTCAGCAACACGGCTCAGCTACTGTGCCAGCTGCAGAAAGCTTGCCCTAAACTGCGCTACCTGAGCATGCTGAACAACAGCGCTTGTCCTGATATCTTCAACGCTGCTACAGAGACTTCCAATTACGATCAATTCGAGGAGACTTATCAACAGTACAGGTGCGTGTCATCTGCCTCTTGCACGCACAACTGCATAGGTTATTCATGTTATTTCTTACAAATTTAGGCATGAAATGTGTGTTTTATCATCAAAAGTTATCGAACTCGAAATACTTCGTTTGTTTACGCATGAAATTTTTGTATAAAATTCAAGAACCGAGTATAAATGTTTTCAATTACACCACGGGTCTTGAGCTTAAATGATAACAAGATGTGTATCTGGCAAGTCGCAAATTATTGTTTCACTCTTTATTAATATATTTAATGCTGTTGAAAATTTAGTAATGCCACCATTTTCCAGAATCGTGAATTTGAATGAAATAAAGGTTTTGGACAACTAAATAGAAGGCATGACGTTTGAATGAAGTCATTTTTCGTTGCATTTTTGTGCAGACTTTTAGTGCTGCAACACCTCCCAAAATTACGTTTCTTGAACGGACAGCCTGCGAGCAAGAAGAAACCCAGGAGCGCCAAAGACGGCAGCTCTCCCTTCACTGAACCGACCTCCAAGTAGACAAGATCACTGAACCGACCTCCAAGTAGACAAGATCACTGAACCGACCTCCGAGTAGACAAGATCACTGAACCGACCTCCAAGTAGACAAGATCACTGAACCGACCTCCAAGTAGACAAGATCACTGAACCGACCTCCAAGTAGACAAGATCACTGAACCGAGCTCCAAGTAGACAGGATCACTGAACCGACCTCCAAGTAGACAAATTCATTCAAACTTCGAAACGTGGTAAATTTTTGGAGTCGAGGAATGCTTGAACTCGCTTTGCGAGTTCAGACTGTTATTGAGGTCTTATAGGTCAGCGATATAACCACTGTTATTATTAAAAAACAAATTTAAATTTGCACAATTAAATTTGTTTAAAAAACCACGGAAACAGCACCCGAAATTACAGTATCCTCGATTCTAATCAGGGCCATAATTTCAACAGGAAAGCCTTCGCTCGACCTTGTTTTCTTGTATAGTCATGTTTTTGGGATCAGTTATTGTTTGAATAGTCAATTTTACTTTAGATCAAATATTAAGGTGACAGATAAACTGATATATTTGGTGATGTTTCATGCCGAATCCTGGTGATACCTTAGCAGACATGTTTGGTGTTGTAGCTAGCTACATCTCAGCCGCGCTGTAAACGCTTGTGTTGAGATGTTCTGTTGAAGTCGTATAATTGTTGAATATTTTGTTTTTCATACCTCCACCGCACTATTGTTGAATATTTATTTTGTCATACCACCACCGCCTTATTGTTGAATATTTATTGTATCACTCCACCGCCACACTTTTGTTGAATATTTATTTTGTCATACCACCGCCGCACTATTGTTGAATATTTATTTGTCATACCTTGACTTCACTATTGCTGAATATTTATTTTGTCATACCACCGCCGCACCATTGTTGAATATTTATTTGTCATGCCTCCACTGCACTATTGTTGAATATTTATTTTGTCACACCACCGCCGCACTATTGTTGAATATTTATTTTGTCATACCACCATATGTTTCATATCTACCGTGAGGCCCGCTGGTAGATGTCCGGGAAACGTCTGTTCTCGTTCCTTAAGTTAAAAAAATATTAATGTTGTTTTGAATATTTCAATATTACACAAGCAGTTGTCATAGTTGATGTTATATACAAGACTCCGATGATAGATAAGAAAGTATATTTGGTGATTTTAGATGCACTGTTTATCCAGGCAAAATAGTTAAAAATGTCAATCATGATTTAAAAATGCAATCTATCAAATGTAAACGAGTGAATGGCATTTTAATGTAGCATATCTGAAATATGAATGACTTATATTAAAAACTAATTTCTTTAGAAAGGTAAAATTTAGACAGAACTTCATCGAGAAGATGAATTTTGCAGCACATCATAAAGGTTAAAGTTAGTTGTCATGAAACTATAGTTTCATTTCATAAACTTATGAGGCAATCTATTTATAAAAGAACAACGGGCCATAAATTTTTTCGAACGAATTACATTATATTTAATAGAGAAATTAACAACAAATCTGAAGTAACAAAATCACTGCAATGGTTTTAAATACAAACAAAATTGCAACGCAACCCTCGTTTGAAGAGCGTTGGAAGGCAAAGGTCTCGATAATTGAAGCATCGTGGGCAAATGTGGAGGCAATGATTGCCGTAGGAATTCTTAATCGATAAACTTTACCGAAATGGCTGGAATTCCACCTTAACTTTTTTAAGGTCATTTGTAGTTCCCAAGCGCCTTATATGAAGGGATTGGAGTCGAGTTTTAAGTGAGAATAACTCTTATTCTTATTCTTTACTATCACTCAATTATTCTTCTTTTATTCAACTTTTCAAAATAACATGAATTTTGAAGAAGTTTGAGTTGGGTGATAAGACTCGAATAGGAATAGAATTCGAATCGGAATAGGAGTTTAGTGGGAAAAAATTTTTATTGGGTATAAAAGTCGAGAAGGAATATAAGTCGAATGGCAATAAAAGTTGTAAGGTTTTCACACAATCGACAGGGTGTCAAATTAAAGAAAAAATCAAGGAAACTTTTATTTTGATTTATTTAACAAAATGTTGAGTTTAATTTGGAGTAGTTAACTTCATTGCAAAGCAGACAATGTTCAGTCGGTAAGAGCCGAATCCCAAGATGCAATCTTCAGAATACGGTTCACAAGAAGTAGAAAGTGGCTGGTTGAAAGAACTGTATGCTGTATAAGAAATAAATTTTAATTATAAATCTTGCAATATGCAAGGGTAATTTAATTAGGGTTATAAAAATGATCAAAATATCACTTGTGTACGGAAAACACTATAACTAACCTGTGATTTAAATGCCCAGTGTCGCAATCACTTTATGAAGGAAGAATAATTGGAGGAATATAATGGAAATCAGTTTAAGGGGTGGGAAGTTGGGCAGAGGGAGAATAATAATAATAATAATAGGGAGAAGAGTTGTACGTTTTGATGGTTTGGAAATTGATATAAAGACTTAAGGCTTGTGTTTGAATCTTCGCAGGTAACGTAGTAAGGTAACGCACTTCTGGAGCGAAAAACTCTAAAAAAGTAAATCGATTGATTTGATTTAGATGGTGAAGTATAATAACTAAATTTAAAGCATGAAATTTGCATTCGAATCATTTTAAAATTGTAAGCCTTAAAGTACGTCAAACTTAACAAAAGATTGAACAAATTAATTTAATGGAGCAAAAAAATAAATACAACAAAATTCACACGGCATTCATACAAACCAAGGAATAGAGAAACAGGATTAAAGCAGACGGATGAAATACTAGCACGTTAATGCAGGTAGCCTATAAGTTGTCAAACTGTACAGAAACTGCAATCTTCACGAAATTGTCGAGTTTTTAGATAATGAATCACATCAAGATATGAACTCTGCGTCACGGCCGTAAAACTCTAGACTGTCACTGACGGCTAATATAACGCAATACAATAGATAACAGATGATGACTGCAAGCCCTGCGGCAGAACCTCTTATTTAGACTAAATGCTTATTCTTCGGGTGATGTTAGAGAAGTGGATACAACAATAATTCTAAGCTAATAATATAATAAAAGATCATTTTGAATAAACCCTGCTGAATACGAATTGACTGTGAGGAATGAGGAATTTCTCACAAAGTCGACTGGGAATAAAAGTAGAGTGGGAATAAAAATCGAGTGGGAATGAAACTCGAGTGGGGATGAAAGTCGAGTGGATGAAAGAGTTGGGTGGGAATGAAAGTCGAGTGTGAGTGAAAATCGAGTGGGAATGAAAGTCGAGTGGATGAAAGAGTTGGGTGGGAATTGGAGTTGAGTGCATGGGCATAACATTCGAGTGGGAATAACAGTGAAGTGATGTTCCGAGCGAGCCGTTCATTGATTATGTTCCCGCGGGCAGGTAACGAATTTGGATGAAGGAAACCACGTTGATTTTTATATTGCTTGAAACTTGTAAACTGACACGAGAAGCCAGACAAACTAATTACGTTCAGTAGTACAAAATATTACATCTAATTCAAATTTCACATATGGATAATTTTAGATATAAGATGATCATTTAAATTGAGGTTCGCATGGTTCTAATGGCCTAGAAGGTAACGTAATTTCAGGCACAACTTTGAGTTACATGTTAAGAGTTTTTCATAATTGTTAAAGACTTTTGGTGCCGGAAGCACATCTCAAACTGATCTCAGCTAATTAACTAAAGAGTTAACGACTAACCAAAGAGTAAACGAGTAACGTGCAAACTGTACGTTCTAGATCTCTCAATGGCGGAGACATCTATGTGGGTAGCCACCACATGTGAGAATAATCGAAAAAATCAATAAATTAATAAATAACAAGGAAATTAATCATGCGTGGGAAGCACGAGCTGCAAGGTTGTAAAGCGAAGTACAAGGGTGAGCTTAAATAGAGAGGATTAGCAAATAGAAATAATTTATATGTTTTGAAAAGAATTGTAATATTTATAAATTTGAGTTGGATCTACTTATTGCTAATAAAGCGAGTATAAGACAAGAATTAGTATTAAACATTTTCCAGGAATAGGAACAACCTATAGGAACAAGGCTTCCACTTCTTAGTAATCTGGCGAAAAATTTGCGATCAGCACAAATAAAAGTAAAAATAAATACAGCAAAAAGACTGGACAATTTTTTCGGGGTAGCCCGGACGCCGATATTGCAGAAAAAAGGCACAAAATATTTCAAATAAATTTAGCAGCGGCTTGCGTCGAAGCGATGTTGATATTAGCGATGTTCTTGCTTGTGGTCACAGCACGAATGCCTGAACAAGAGGCGGGTGTCCGAATTGGTTAGTGTTTAGGAGTTAATATTTATTAATATATCAATCATATAGTATTAACCAGAACCTATTTAACCGAAACTTTGCAAATGATGCTTATATCATTCAATTCAAATCAAAATGATCCAAGTTGATCTGCCTCAGCGAGAAGTTATGCTGCAAAATATCAAAATTTTCGGCAGCAGGAGGCCGAATAAAATTAATCTGTCCATAGATTTTAGCATTTTAATTTAAAATAAACTTAAAATTAGGATTATTTTAGTTGTTACAGGTGCACGTGTGTGTTGAGTTGATGAATGAGAACTCCAGCAGATAATTCAGAGTATAGCGAATTTACGCGCGTAAATTCAGAATACTACGAGTAAAAACTGTGTATGAGAGGCAGAGAGCAGCAGCAGCAGCAGCAGCAGCAGTAGCAGCAGCAGCAGCAGCAGCAGCAGCAGCAGCAGCAGCAGCAGCAGTGCTATAGCATCTGGTATTGGTTATTCCTGACAACTAAGAGGCACAGCTGCTGGTGGAGATCAATAATATGGGTGAAGAGCAGCAGCAGCAGCACAGCAGCAGTAGCAGCAGCAGCTGCAACAGAAGAAGCAGCAGCTGCAGCTGCAGAAGTCAGGTGCAGCACAGGATGCTGGGCACTTCAGGGCACAGTCTCGGCGCAGCTGTAGCAGCAGCTGTAAGTCAGCTCTTAAAGCTGCAACAGGTGACCGGGCCGCGCACCGCTGCAATTTACCGTTAACGACATCTTTGCTGGAGCTGGTGAGTTTAGACGATTAAACCTCAAAGTCTGTAGAAGTGTTGAACTATGAGGATATAAATGTATACAAAAAGTGTTCGTCCATTTATGGTGTCGGGGAAAATTCTAAATCTATTGTGTCTAAGTTACCGTATGGCTGAATGACAGAGATCGACTATTAACTGAAGAAAGTTGTCATAGGAAAATGCATATACTTCTTGAGTAACCTTTTTGGTTAAAATAAAGGCTGAATAGCTCTGGTTTGTGCATGAAGGATTATC